TTTGAGGGGGGGGGGGGGGGGTAGAATGCTGCAAGAGAAGAGACCTCGGGACCTTCTTTGGAAGAAAGAATCTGGAAGATGGAAGAATCTCAGAACGAGATCCTTCAACTCCTGCGAGAGAATCGACAGCCAACATTGGCACAACAGGAGGAAGTTTTCTCCCTCAGAATCCACCACGGGTTGAAGATGTCCAATTTGAACATCTTCAAGTAGAAGTTCATCTCCCTTCACCTAGAAGATTTCCTCAGTATCGACAGGATAATGAACTCGCCGATACGTCAAGTTCTACACATCCTCCACCCTCAATTCGGCAGCCTCGCATTCTCCCAGATCTCCCAGAAGACTCTGCTCAACAACGCGTTGCAGAGCTCCCTCACGACGCTCTGCATCACGAACTGCGAAGGTTGGTAAGGGAAGAATTCCCCCAAGGGGATGTGAGACAAACCTTTCGTCAGAGAGACTTCCAGGAGTCATCACCTCTAACTGAGACTATACTACAGTACCCTATTCCGGCTAGATTTAAACTACCCAACATCGAGTCTTACGACAGAACGTTAGACCCGTATGAGCATATCGACCACTACATAACCATTATGCACATTTAGCGAGCCTCAGACGCTCTCCTCTGCGAAGTCTTTCCTGCCACCCTTAAAGGATAGGCTCGCACGTTGTTCTCCTCACTTCCGTCGGGGACGATCCCCTCATTTATAAAATTGGCAAAAGCTTTTGTCGAGCAGTTCGTAGCCAACCGAAGAATTGCTAAGGATTCTTCTCATCTCTCTTGAATCCGCCAAAACGAAGGAAAATCTTTAAAGGAGTATTTTCAGCGATTCTCCACTAATGCTCGACAAATCCAGGAGTAGATCTTGAACTGTTGAGAGGAGTCTTCCTTGGAGGCCTTCGCTCTGGCCCCTTCTATTCGACACTTATGCGTGACACTGTTCCTTCATATGGCAATTTAATTCACCGTGAAGAAGCACAAATCTCGGCATATGAGACTATAAATGCCCATAGGAAAAAGTTTTAACAATCTATTGGAAAGCACAAGGGAGCACCAGGGACAGATAATTCTGCCTCGCAACGAAAGAAGCAAGGAAAGAAAAATCTACCTCCGAGGCCTCCATTGCCACGACGAGAACCTTGACAGGAGAAAGAGTACACTCCTCTCAATACGTCTCGAGCAAATGTGTTAATGGTTGTTCAAGATCAAGATACGGTAAAGTGGCCACATCCATTGAAGCCGAACACAGGAAATCAGGACCAATACTGCTATTTCTATCGTAGTCGTGGCCACACTACAGAAGCCTGTAGAAAACTGAAGGAGGAAATTGAAAGGCTTATCCGTCAAGGTTATCTTCGGCAGTTTATTCAGGATCCACCTACTCGAGAGGAAACTCGTCCCGCTGGGGGGAAAGATCGACAACATAGGCCACCAGTAAATAATCGAATAGCAGTTGGGGAAATTGAGACAATAGCCGGAGGACCTTTGCTATCCGATAAAGTCTTTTTGGCAGTGGATGAAATTTCAACTCCAAAGAAAGCTCGTGTAGATCACACCATCACCTTTGATGACTCTGACTTGGAGGGAGTAAAAATCCCTCACCAAAATTCTCTTGTTTTCAATGCTAGCATAGGTGACCCATGTTATAATGTTAAGAGAATTCTTGTGGATAACGGTAGCTCTGTAGATATCCTGTTCTACTCTATCATCCTTAATTTGGGTCTCTCCAGAGAAAAGCTTCAACCTGCGGCAGGTCCTTTATATGGATTTGATAATCGACCTATACGAGTAGAAGGGATAATCAGTCTCCCAGTTGTACTTGGAGAATTCTCCCAATAATCTACACACTCTATCCAGTTCATCATTGTAAAGTCTGAATCGGCTTACAACGCTATCTTTGGAAGGCCACTCCAGTCAATTTTTGGGATTGCCACCTCTATCCCTCACCTCAAGCTGAAGTTCCACACTCCGACAGGAGTTAGTGTGGTATGCGGAGATCAACAAACAACATTAAAACCTACTATCTCAGGCAGGTCAAAACACGCCCGACTGATACTCTAAACATTGAGGATTGTGATCTCCAGAATGAAGACATACCTCAGATAGCCTCCCCAGTAGAAGAACTCACCACCGTATCTATCTCTGAAGAACATCCTCTAAAGACGGTGCAAATTGGGTCACTTCTCTAAGAAGACGAGAAGAAAATATTCACAAATTTTCTACGAGAAAATCAGGACATTTTTGCATGGAGTCCGATGAATATGCCCGGGATTGACCATGAAGTAATTGTGCATTCCCTTATGGTCAATCTGGCGAACAAACCAATCTTCCAGAAGAAATGGAATTTTACACTAGATCGTCAGCAGGCGATCGAACAAGAGGTGGACAAACTCCTGAAAGCCGGATTCATACAAGAAGTGCATTATTCTACTTGGCTGGCAAATGTCGTATTGGTTCGGAAGGGAAGCGGTGCATGGAGAATGTACATAGATTACATAGATCTCAATAAAGCCTGCCCAAAAGACAGCTTTCCTCTTCCGCGTATCGACCAGTTAGTCGATACCACTTATGGGCATCGAATGTTGAGTTTCATGGACACCTACTCCTGTTACAACCAGATCAAGATGAATCCGACAGACGAAGATGCATCAGCATTCCAAATAGATAAAGGGTTGTATTGTTATCGGGTGATGCCATTCGGGCTCAAGAATGCTGGAGCAACTTATCAACGTCTCATGAATAAGGTTTTCAAAACCCTTATTGGACGTAATATGGAGGTGTACGTCAACGACATGTTGGTAAAGAGTCTAAAAAAATCTCAACATATCTCTGACTTGGAACAGTGCTTCCATCTGTTGAGACGCTACAATATGTGACTCAACACCGCCGAATGCGCCTTCGGAGTCACTTATGGAAAATTTTTGAGTTTTATGGTAACCCACAAAGGAATTGAAGCCAATCCCGAAAAGATTAAGGCGTTAAGAGATATGGTGCCCTCGAAGAACATCAAGGAAGTCCAAAGGCTGAATAGGAGAATTACAGCGTTGTCTCGTTTCCTGGCACGCTTAGGAGACAAATATCTGCCTTTCTTCAAAATACTCAGAGGCGCCCGTAACTCTAGGTTTCAATGGACAGACGAATGCCAAGAAGCCTTTGAACAGTTACGAAAGTATTTTGCTTCCCTGTCGGTACTTTCTAAACCAACGCCTAGAGAAAAGCTATATTTATACATAGCTGTTTCAACTAAAGCCATCAGTTCAGTCTTGGTGCGAGAAGAGAATGCTGTACAACGCCCCATCTACTATATTAGTAAAATCTTATCTGAAATAGAGGGACGTTATCCCTTAGCGGATAAGACATCATTGTCACTAGTATATTCTTCTAGAAAACTACACCCCTACTTCCAAGCCCACTCAATTGGGGTTTACACAAATCTGCCACTGAAAAATATTCTACAAAAACCAGAAGCATCGGGTAGGCTTGTCAATTGGTCTATAGAACTGGGAGAATTTGACATGAGTTGTATAAGCGCGCTTTCACCTGGCCATATCTGAAGTGTCTCCCACCTTTAAAAGCTGATTATGCACTCCGAGAAGTTCATTCAGGATTATATGGCGAACATCTGGGAGGAAGAGCTTTGTCTTAGAAAATCATGAGGCAGGGGTTCTATTGGCCTACAATGAAATAGGACACACTTGAGTTTACACGAAAATGTGAGAACTGCCAATTACATTCCAATCTCACCCATACTCCAGCTCTGGAACTTGCGTCACTTCAAAGCCCCTGGCCTTTCGCCCAGTGGTGAATTGATATAATGGGACCCTTCCTAATAGCCACAGGACAACAAAAATTCATCATCCTAGCTGTAGATTACTACACGAAATGGGTGGAAGCAGAGCCCTTGACAAAATTTACTGAAGCAAATGCCAAACAATTCTTATGGAAGAATATAATTTGTCTCTTCGGTATTCCAGCAAAGGTCATCACCGACAACGGAACTCAGTTTATAGGAAAAATATTTACATCTTTATGTAAAAATTTTCACATTCAACTCATCCACTCAGCTGTCGCCCATCCTCAAGCAAATGGGAAAATGGAGGTTACAAATCGAACAATTCTGAACTGGTTGAAGACACGCCTAGGGAAGGCTGGGGGGCAATGGGTTGAAGAACTCCCAAATATCCTCTGAGCTTACCATACCACGGCCAGGACTCCTACAGGAGAAACTCCGTTCAACTTCTGTTTCGGTACAGAAGTAGTCATACCAGTAGATATTGGAGTTCCAAGCAACAGAGTTCAAACTTTTGACTTCAATAACAACAAGGAGAAACTCAAGACAGATCTAGATCTCCTCCCTAAAGAAAGAGATGAAGCCTCACTCAGGGCCGCTGCATACCATCAACAGATTGCTTGTCACTACAATCGGAGAATAAAACCTCGAATATTTCCATTGGGGATTTAGTTCTACGAAGCATCGAAACTGTTGGAAAAGGCCCTCAACACAATAAGCTCTCCCCCCTATGGGAAGGTCCTTACTTGGTGGCGGCTATGGTCAAGCCTGGGACCTTCAAATTGAAAGATGCGAATGGAAAAATGCTTCCCCGAACTTAGAATATGGGCAACCTTCGCAAGTACTATCAGTAGGAGTTGATGCTGTTATCTGTTTAGTGTGATCTCGTTCATCGTGTTCGTTTTGCTTTGTAGCCATACTTTGTACCTTTTAAGTTTCTCGTACACTCTTTGTATGTTGATTGTAAAAGAACACTCCTTTTTGTATGCCTAAGTTTACTAGGGAATTGTCGTACTATTTTATATAATACAGTAATGTGATGTTTGCTTTGTCATTGTACCGTCTCTTCTATTCGAGCTTTTTCCTATGATTCGAGAAATACACAACTAATGTTGTATCTCAATCAATAGGCGACTAATCCCGGGGGATCTAGTTCGACCTCTTTCACACAGGTTAAAATCATCATGCAAGTGCTTTGATTGACAACCTCGGATAGGTTAGAGTGTCCCAAAATGGATATCTCTTGCATTCGTGTAAGTCAAAAAGACTACCTTAACATTCGAGTTAACATATATGAAAAAGAAAAATGTCTTTTTTATATATATAAAAAACCCACTAACATCAAGTACATCATCCAAAAATAACAACACGCGAACAGCAGGAACATACGTACAATCACCGCAACAAAAATAAAAGCAACACAAAAAACATCAAAATAATTCTACAGAATCTCAAGATCATCTTCATCATCCTCTCCCAACCCGAAGCTTTTGCAAATCACTCTCCAATTCTTCACTGCTAGAATCTGGAGAAGGATCACCAGAAGCCTGGCTCGGAGTCAACCCCTCGATCTCCCCTCCGTTCTTGCGTTGCACTACACGAACGCCCTTCATGAAGCCTTTAATGAAGCCATCTTGCATAAGCTCTACTTCTAAAGCCTTAACCTCTACGTCATAAAAATAATCGCGGGCTTCCTGGACTTGATCCTCAACAAAAATCTTAAAAGAGTAAGATTTTTTGAATTCTTCTATGGCTGCAGACGATGACAGTTGAGCTACCTTCTCCGACAACTTGTTCAGGAGCTTCATATTATCAGCCTCAAGGATTCGCAAATTTTTCAGATGTTGGTTGTTTGTTGCCTCTACCTCTACCAACTGTATATGCAAATGATCCATCTACTCATTCTGAGAAGTGGCTGAAGCGATCTTATTCGCAAATTCTATTCTGTATTGATCGAGTTGATTCTCCACCGTCTCCACCTCCTTCACTCTGCTGTCGTATTTCTTCTTGTATTCTCCCTGAAGGTATTTGACCTTCATGAATTCATCATTCAATTCATCCAAGATTTTGTTCACCTCAGGGAACTGTTCAAAAAAGAATCAACAAGTGAAAAGTATATCCTTGAAATTAGACACAAATATAAGGGAAATGGAGAGAAGGTGAACACACCAACTCTTCAGCTTGTCGACGACCAATGCACCTATGTTTCAGAACATCCTCTGGAATATATATTCTGGATAGAGAAAAATGGGGATCTTGCCGGCAACTGACAAGATTTCTTCTGACTTCTTCTTCTTAAGTGCCTGTAAATCTCCCTCGCCCTCAGGTCACTTGGATTAAGTTTTTTGGGCTTCCAGGACTTTTGCAGATATCTTCAACCTCTGTGCATGTGACCTCCCTGCATGTGTGGATAGTCCCACCTTGAATAAATATTCCTCGTCTATACATCTGCTCAGAGAGTGCATCTCATAATGAAGAGCTTCAATAATAGGAAGCTTCAACATACTCAACAAGTATTCCGCTCCGATATGAAGGGGGATAGGTAGCTCCTTCAACTTTCCCCATCTTTCTTGGAGGCCCTAATCATTTTGCACAAAGAAAAAATCACGAACCCAATCTTTGGATAGATCCCGGGTATGAATATCCAACCACTTGGATCTAAAGGAGATTCAGCCATGCGGATCAGTATAGATTCGCCCCATCCGGGATAGGCATTCTGCAAACAATACCACTCCGCGGTCTCTGAAAAATGCGATGAGGCCCACAACGGCCGACATAACCTGATAGGAAAATTGAGACAAACACAATCCGCAAGTCGTCAGGATATCAAGCAGTTCAGGAGGCGGAGGAAATCGCAACCCTGCTCGCAAACTAAACTTGTACATTGTCACGTATCCATGGGGAGGGAAGCAGGCATGCTCAGATCCCGCTATCACCTTCATCACCAAATCATTAGGATAATGAAACTTTTCCTAAAAGAGATGAAAGAGTCTTCGGTGATGGTGGAGATAATGTCGTCGGCTTTTGTCGCCTTAGGAACCTTCTTCGA